ATTTCACTTGAAAATCCATTCCTTGAAACAATTTCATGATTGTTTCCTCAACTTTATAACTATAGAAATTTTAGTTTTTTTTTTTTTTTTAAATACAAAATATTTTTATCGATCGATTTCTCATTTGCTTCTCTCTCATTCGTTTTCAATTCACGTTTAATTTCCAATTAATTTTTATCGATAATGAGTATCGATTTTATCACACTACATACAAAAAATACAATTTATTTACGTACTCGTACAAATTATGAAACCTTCAACTTTTAATTAACCACTTTTCGCAAGTTCGGTTAACCCACACTTCAACAAAAGTGGCTGTATGATCGAACTGCGTAAACACAATGATAAATTGCCTTTGATTACCGTCGCGATAAAACGGAGTTTGAATCGTATCAAACACTTTGATGGAGGACATTAAAAACAAATAATTCGTGGCAAATAATTCTCTGACTTTTCTATGTCTATCGTTCATAAATTAATGTTCTAAAAAAGGCTTTGTCTTTGGCCACCTTTATTTCTTCCTCTTAATTCAATCATTTGGAATCATTACGTTAAAAATTTATAGTTGGAGTTATTTTTCTTCGTAGATCTGTTGTGTCCATTTTATCATATAATCTCGATTCAATCACAATCGACTGTGCAAATTATTTTATGGTCCAATTTTCATAAAAATGAAGTATTTTTTGTGACGATGGTTTAATCACGTTTGTTTGCTTCATTTGTCACGATCATGCAGCGTTATGATATTTAATATTGATGATTTTTTTTGTGCTTGAAAAGACTTAAAAAGAATGTTTATTATTTATAATAAAATTATGATTTTTAATTTTTAAATACATCTGTGGATAATTTTAGCAAATTGTTGTAATAATTTTTTGAACAAAAAGTTTTGAAAGAAGGAGAATATATGGTAAAAAATAAATTGAATCTATAATAGAATTTATAACGATATCTTTAAAAATTAATTTGTTTTTAAATTATATAAAGTTAATTTTGAAATTTTGTAAAAAATTTTATACACATAAAAGTTTAATCCTATAAATCTCATCTCTTTTATTACTTAACATATTTATCTCATATTTTACTCTTTGGTATTAATGAAGATATATTTTATTTTGGATATTTTCTTACTTCTTTAATCTGTTTCTTTCACTAATTTTATATCATATACAAATACTATTATTTAGCACGTATTGATTCATCCGAGATTATTTACACAACGAACGTGTTAAATGAAACAATTTCTTGAAGCTGTAGAATTTTTATCTCATTATTTTTTTCACACACATATATATATATTTTTTTAAGAATTCGTGATCATGAAAATCAAATCTTTTCAATTGAAAGGATTGTGTTGGATATTACAGACACGTGGGGAACTTTCGTAGCGCAAATACATATTTTTTCCTTTGTACGACACTGTTACACCTACGTGATATGATATACCTACAGAGAATCCAAAGGCTTTATGCAATGCATCAGGGAAATAAAATTCCTCTCTGCTGGAAAAATAAAATTTTCACTTGTTTATGAATGAGTAAACTCGGAAGAAATATCAAAAAAGACCGTACTGTTTTTCAACATAATGTTTTATTTCCACTCGATAAACGTATTGTCAACGTTCGTTTAATGCTTTCTGAATTATTCTCATCTCTGATATTACAGTTGATACCGAATAATGGTCGACGAGATAATAAGACCTTTCGTGTTTTGATGATGATACAAATCTGGAATAAAACAAGGGAATTTATGTTTTCACAATTGTCAAGAGGAATAGAAGGAAATAGAAAAGCAAATAAAAATATTTGCAAGTTTTATTTTATGAAATTTAAAACAGAAAATGTGAGCTTGATATTTCAATTCCTGATCGTTTCGAATGATTTCATTAATTCTTCCATTTTCAAATCTCTTTCTAAATATTATTTTACGAATTTTGTTCCATCATATTATTGATAAAATACAAATTCATCTAATCTATTTGAAGTGAAATCCAAGGAAATGGTAATGAAATTGCATCTATAGAATCGACTTAATCGATACTATGTGTATAGTATATATACATTTAAAGTCAAGAGAAATTCATCGAAGTTCCTGCAGAATTTTGATATTTATCGAATTAGCACGGATATCGAATTTCGATTAATTTTAATTCTGAATATTAATTCTGAAATTTAGGGAACGTGAATGAAATTATTGATTTAAATTAATATCTCACAATATAAAGATTGTCTTTCCAAACGAATAAACTTATTAAAAGAAATCAAAGAAATTTTTTTAAAAAATTTTCTTGTTTGAAATTAAATTTTAATTTAATCTATCACAAATATTTTATTTACCTATCATATGAAACCATCATAAATTTATCTTAAAATTCTCTTTTTAAATTTAAAAAATATGTATGCATATTAACATAAACTCAAAAATAACGCATCATACTGAGACTAAAAGTTAAATTTCAATTCAATTTAAGCATAAAGAGTCTTAAAATTTCCCTTTTCAAATTTATGAGAAAAAAATTTATTTAAAATAATATTCGTAACACTTTGCCAATATCGATCTCATCATTAACAATTTAAAACATACATTATTCGTGTCCAATATTATTTTATCGCGTGAAACATTCAAGTTTTCTCTCCCTCTCCCGATCAACAAATTGCAGGAAATTGAAACTCCACGCTCGACCACGCACGTGACACGTGAAACACTTGAAATCGGATATTCCCGAACGATATTTAGGCCATTGATTTTTCTCAATTAACAAGAGATATCGATTGCAACATTTAATCGAACCTTTAGTCCTCGTCAAATATCGCGAGCTGTGTTTATATTGTCCGATACTATGCGTGATATTACATGTTTAATGTGATGAAACTCTCTCTCTCTCTATCTATCTCTGTCTCTCTTGTTACCTATCTATCTATTTTTCCAATTCAGATAAGAAAAACGGGATTATTAAAGGATTAATGGAACAGGGGAAGAAAGAAAAATAAAAAAAGAGAAATACAATGGAGATAAAGAGAAGATAAAAATAGAGAGAAAAGAAGAAGTGATATAGAAAAGAAAAATACAGAAGAGAGAAGGGATAATGAAAATGGAGGAGAGGAGAAGAATTAATATGGGGAGAGGAAAAAGTAAAGAGAGAAAAGGAATAATGAAGGGAAAAAATGATTTGAAAACAGAACAACTTGAAAACAAAAAAAAAAAAAATTTCCGTTCAAAATTCAAAAAATAGTAAAACGAACATCCCAATTTCTTTTTCCACCCTCCATCTCCATTTCCATATTTCGTCCAAATCTTCAACTTTTGGTCCAAGGGGAGCACACGTTCCCTTTTTATCATCCTTCAACGGTTCCCGTCGACTCGAAATCGCCTACGAGGCATCACCATAGCAACGTGAATAGATTAATCCACGGATATACACGCGTGGAATTAAGATGTCAACGTCAGAGTTGAACAAGCTTCTCCAAAGTTGCTGCCCTTGGACCGTGCATGTGCGCGGTGAGGAAGCTGCTGATCCTATTCGATCGGAAAATTGCACGATAAATGTCAAAATTCGATGACGAAGCGAAGAGGGATGGCACAGGATGGGCCAACAAACATGAATTCTCGAAATTCGAACGAAATCACTGAAATGAAATAATTCCTATAATTCGTCTATGATTCTTTTATTTATTTAAAAAGTAATTAAATTTCAAAGATGATTGCGAAATAAACAGTTTTGTGAAAACAAGAACAGAATGTCAACTTCTGAATGACTTCAGCTTGAAAAATAGCTTAAAAGATATTATTTAATATATCTTTAATATACAATATTTAATTTGAAATTTCTATTTTTCTTTAAATATTTGTAAAAACATTGAATAATTAATAAGTTTCATATTCAGACACTTGTTTACATATAACAGCACACGACAATCTTATATCATATGACAACGAGATTTTCCCTTCGAATTCGACACGAGAATAACAAAAACATGACGAGCTCGTAAGTTTCGACACAAGCGTCTAGTTGTCTTCCTCGCATTCACGTCAAATGGTCGACTGCGTTACGGGGGAAACCCTCGTAAACTTGATCGTAACATTGCCAGAGATGTTCTTCATTGTTCTTTACCACTAAACTTTGACCTTTGAAGCTCGAAAACCGTAATTCTCTTCTTCAAACCCAACCCTTCTCCCCGCTCATTCTTCATCTAAGTTGGTGAAATGGATTATGATCATTCGTACGATACAGAGCGAAATATATACAATATGGATGAAGTTTAAAAGGAATATTATATCTTGAAAATTTGATGGAATGGAAAATTGCGATACAAGATTCTCCCTGTGATTCAGACGAATATTGAATGAAATTATATTTAATAATGAAATAAGAATTATCGTTCAAGTGATATATTAAATAATGTATAGAATTTGATGAACGATCCAATTCGAAGTTCAAATAGAAAAAGAAAAAAGATATCAAAAAAGATTAATCACATTCACTTTGTAAAGATAATTCCACATATTGATATCTTGTTTTTGATAAAACATCTTTATGGAAAATATAAAAATTCCATAGTTGATTAAATTGATGGTAGTGGTTTAATGATGAAGTTAACTAGAAAACTCTTATCCCCTTCGATCAGGTATTAAACGAAATTGCATATTCTCTCATTATCCGAAAATAACATTTGTGCATCCTCGTTATAAATGTTTCATGTACTCGTGTCGTATTATCATATATTATTGCTTACAAGAAACGAATAATTCCCTCAAAACGAACAAACAAACCTTCTTTCTCTCGAATAAATTGCACAAATTACGAGAGACACGTATTCTCATTCGTCTCAGAGAAACACCTTGAAAAGGTATATTACGCCAAATTTCTCCACCAATAAAGTCATCCGAATCTCTAAGAAGAAAAGAAGAGAAGGAAAAGTAGCGCAACATCGAGCACAATCTAATCAATCCTTTCTTCGAAACTTTCTTTCTTCCGATCTAATGGAGACGACGTTTTTCAGGGTGGAGAGGGTGGAGAGACTAACCCGTGGCGACAATTCGCAAAGGGGAAAAGAAGTGGGAAAGGAGAGTGAGGAGCGAGGAGAAAGATGGTTTCCTCGGCGATCTTCGGTGCGGCAGCTGGTACCGGTTTGGCCTTGGTCGTCGCGATGACCATAGTGGTGTATCGTTATTATGCTGTGAAACGGAAAGGGAAATACTGGAGCAGCCTGGATCGTTGGCCTGACCCACCTGGCACGAAGAAGGGGGAGGGACGACAGGAACAATGCTCGGAGCATTGTCACGACTCTTCCTCCTCTCATGTGCTCAATTGTTGGCGGAAGCAACAGAAGAATTATTACGCGGTCCAGTCCAGGGTATGTAACATGGAAAATGTTTCATTTGATTCTCTGTTTCAACTCTCTGTTGATGTGCTTGATATTATTTAAGATTCAGATAAGATATGCTTGCACGATATGAATAAAATATCGTTTTTCTCTTTGTTTTCCTCCTCTATGAATGTTCGGAGGATTGTAATTGTGTAAAATTTGAAATTTTTAAGAATTCATGATTCGATCCGTGTACAAGAGGAAAGAGAGGAAATTTGTACGTGTGATGGAATTTTTAATCTGAAAATTAAAAAATTAAGTTTTAAAGGGAAAGAATCCATTTTCTTTCTTTCTTTCTTTTTTTTCTTTATTTTAATAATATGATAAATATCGTTTGATGATTAATGGGCAAACAATGAAGAAAAACGATTTAAGTCGTTTAATTATTCCTTTTTTTAAGTGGTTGTGTCATTAGTTGATTAAAATTTCTACTTAATGATAATTTTTTCAATCATCCAATGTTACGTAATCTAAATTTATTTCCATCATATATCGACATTATAGATACGCAACGTGAAAATTTACTATACATTATTATTTAAACTTGATATTATCTCATACTTTCTGATATTCTCCCACGTAAAACTAGTATCCTCTGACCTGATCATAGCTGATAGGTATAATTGCATTTTCATAGTACATATGATGCAGTAAAAAGTATAATTACTTCAAGTAAATTCTTTTTTTTTTTTTTTCAATTTTTACGCTATTTTAAGGCGAGTTTAAAATTTACAGACTTGCGCAAGTTTTAAGTGAATAAACCACGTAATTAGTCAGACACGACGCTTGATAAAATCTCATCTTCTACTTAATAGTTGAAATTACAGTTTCTGTCATTAATTTCACAAATTATATTAAAATTTATTTTCCAAAACTATAAACTAAGGGAAAAGTATTTGAATTTAAATCATAAATAATTGAGACATGTTGAAATTAATTTTAATATAAAATTTTTTCAATTTTCTTCTTTCCAAATTTAAAATAATAATAAATAATACATTTTTAATTATTCAACGAGTGGTCGATGCTTTACCAATTCACTTATTGATCGGTAGATAATGGATCTTTGATGACCAAGTTAGTTTGTTCTTAATTCATTTAAATAGTTTGATGTTCAAGAAAAAACCATCAATTAAAGATTTTTATTCGGTTTTAATAGGTCAACAAACTTCAATCTATTCTAAATCCTAATATAATAGAGTATTTGTATTAAGATTAATAATCGTTGCAATAATTACGCTTATTCTTTATTCGGGTCATATTATAGGAGAATATATGCTATAGTTAATGATATTTTTAATTTTAATGTATTGTTTCAACACATGGAAAAATAATTTGTATTCGATATTATATTCGAAATTTTAAAAAAATATTGTAATTTATTTTTTTATTATTGTTGTTTAAAATAATAAAATAGATAAATCATTTGGAAATAATTGAATAATTGGAATAATTTTTCAAGTAAAATTTCGAAATTTATTTTACAACTATTTATCAATCAATTTTTTTTTTGATAGATATTCAAATATTAATTAATCTAAATTCAAAATTATAATCAATTAATTAATGATTCATTGATATATTGCATGATTATTCGAAATTTTATTAATATATATTATCAATTAGAGAATGCTTTGCTAATTATCTACAGCAATGATTATTTTCAGTCTAATAAAATATTCATATAATTCAATATTTTGGTATATACACTTTGTATATTCAAAGATTTCAATGTTTATTAAGATATTACAGTATTTAATTAATGAGGATTTTTACATTACATAATATAATTTATTTATAAAATAATATTTAAACAAACTTTGGAAAAGACAGCTATTCGAACAAATATTTAATTTATTTGTATTTAATTTATAATGAATATTTACAGATCTTATTAATATTCCTCTATATTAAATATAAATTATAAAGATATCTAGATACAGGAAACATATAATTATTTTGTTGCAATTTCTTTTATAATAGCTTTACATATTGCAGATAAGCTAAAAAATATAATACCATCTTTTTTGTAGAAAATATCAATATAGCAAAGTCGGTAAAAATTCGAAACAATCAATAATCTTTTACGGAATATAGTGGCAGCATACATAGAATATGATATATAGACTTAACAATAAATATACGG